TAAGGCATGTTGCTTGCCCAATAGGAATAAATCTGAATTTGGTGTCTAGTACACACACCCTGAATCAGGGAGAAAATAGAGGTGGTGGAGATAGCATGAAGAAAGGAAAGAAGAAATTAATTCTTTTAAGAGAAAAAAATGTACAACTAGATTTCTGGGGGGGAAAAACATCAGCTCCAAGTTCAGGGTGTGACCATCAAAGGAAAAACATATAAAGTGACAGAAGAAGACCCCTGACACCCTTTGCAAGTATATACAAATGCACATGCATACACAGTTTTGAAAGTACAATAATAATAAGCCAGGCATGTAGGAGGCAGAAACAGGTGGATCTCTGTAAGGCCAGCCAGGGCTACACAGTGAGACTGTCTCAAAAAGTAAATGAGTAAGACTGGAAAGATGACCCAGGGATCAAGAGCTCTCCCTGCTCTTGATGACGACATGGGTTTTGTTCCCAGTGTCTACAGGATGACTTACAAATGGCTGTAACTTTCAGATAGTCCAGTGTCCTCTCTGGCCTCTGCGTAACACACATACATGCAGGCAGGACACACAAAAAAAGTCTTTGAAAATACAAAAAAGTGAAGTCTAGTCCCAGCCTTCACGGGAGGGGGGGGGGCTTGGCCCCTTTCTTGTGTGTGACTCAGTAAAGGTGATAATGACTGCATAGAGAGACATAAAGCACACTTAACAGAATTGCTCTGTGAATATGCCAAGGCTTTTCTCATTTTGTGAACACTGAAAAGTAGAAACCCTTCAAAAAATGGAGACCTGTTTTTCTTATTTTTACTGCCCTAAAGCTTGTGCCTATTGGAGAAAGTAGGTCTGAAACATGTTATTTTCTGCTTTTCCTTCCTGTCCTCTTATTCTCCAGCTGTCTCAACTCATAGGAAGAGTGTTACACTTCAGCAAAATGTGTTTCCTGTGACATTTCAACAAGCCTCCATTTTGTCTTTCCATGTTAGAAGTGTTCCTCTTCCGCTCTTCATTGCCAGCTCTCTGACTTGTCACCTTCAGCTCACTCAGTTCTGTTAAGTTTGCAGAATATGACAGAGAAAGAAGTCATATTTATAAACATGTGTTCCACGCAGCTGCTTCAAGATTAGACATGGCATCCATCTACTCGTATATCTGTTCTCTCTCTACAACTGTGCTCATCCCCATTATAAATGTGGCATCTGTGTGATCTCATACTCACCTTGTCTAGAAACAAATGGACACTGTTTTGGGTTTTTTTTGGTTTTTCTTTTTATTTAAAAAGGGTCCCCCTGTGTAGCCCTGGCTGTCCTGGTACTCAGAGATCTGCCTTCCTCTGCTGGACTCCATGTGTGTGCCACCACGCCACGCAGTATATTCTTTTTAAACTAAGCAGAGCAGCCTATCACTCGGGTGACTTTACTCTGCTAATCAAGAAAAGTTAGCTCAATTACCTTCCTAGAAGATAGTCCATTTCTTAAGAAGCCAGGGTCTCAGGTAAGGAGAGGAGTCCTATCCTTTCTTCCCTTTGAACACCTACTTCCTGCAGGCTTACATGTCATTTATCATAGACAAAAGGAGAGGTGAATGGGTAGTCTAAGACAAATATTTTGAAAAGAATAAGAATCCACTAGAGGTAGCTGTGTCTTTCCTAGAATTTGAAAGATCTGGTTTCTGTTAGTCTTTCAATAAATTATTTACTTTTTTTGGACTTTGTTTCTGATTTCATTTCTTTTTTCTTTTTTTTTTTTTTTTTTTTTTAAGGAAGGTAGGGTCTCTTCTAGTGGAGAATGACCTGGACCTTTTTTCTTATTATATGTTTATTTATTATGTGCATGCATGTGCCACAGAATACTTGTAGAAGTCAGAGGACAATTTGAAGGAGTTGGTTTTTCTTCATGCACCGTGTGGGTCCCAGGGATTGTCAGGTCTGACAGAAAGCGCTTTTACTCCCTTAGCCATCTCATGGGCCCAGACAGCTACCACTACTACTGCTGTTGCTGCTGTTTCTTTGGGTGACCACAGGGGTCTCTCCACACAGCCCTGGCTGTTCGGGAATGCACAGATCTTTCTGTCTCTGCCTCTCAGGTGCTGAGATTAAAGGTGTGCACTACCGCACCCAACTTTTTCTTTGCTTTTTGTTTGTTTGTTTGTTTGCTTGTTTTTATTAGTTTGGGTACTCTGATCTCCAGCACTGGATTGTAGTGACACGTATCTGTAATTTTTGCACTTGGAAGTAGCGGCAGTTTATATACACACACAAACACACCTTTGTTCAAGGTTGTCCTTCACTCACTTGGTTATCCTGTCTCAAAAAGGAAGAAACTGTTAACTCAGAAGCCATAAATGGTTAATAAACGTAACAACCAAAAGTAGGTAATTTCTACATATCGTTAACTGCCATCAGTATATGACCGGCTGAGGAGTACACGTTATACAGACTTTATTTCAGGCTATTAGAAGTTACAGTTAAAGAGCACAGTAGGGGCACAGCTGTTAGGAGCGCTTGCTGCTCTTGCAGAGGACTTGAGGTTGGCTCCCAGCACCAATGTCACATCACATCTGCCATGTAGTGCTGAGGATATGTAATGAGTACATTCTCTCTGAAGCAGTTTGCCAGTATTTTTCCAAACTCCCAACAAAAATGTGATTACCTATTTTACTTATTTATCTTACAGACGTATTTATGCTGAACAAAGGTACATCATTTATTCGAGGGTATCCTTTGGTATTTATTTGTAATAATAGAAGAGTGGAACAACTCTTTATTGTCTATTCAAATGCAACCACGGCAGGGTTGGGGGCGTTATTGCTGTAATTCTAGGACTCAGGAGGCAGAGGTAAGAGGATCAACTTATCCTTTGACCTCCAAATGCACACTCTAGCACATGCAAATAAATAAGTAAAAAAAAAAAAAATTTACAGTGAAGTATGCTACATGTCATTTGTTCATTAGATTTAAGTTCCCTACTTAGAAACATTCAATCCTGCAAGATGTCTCACTAAGCCTGAGGAGCTGAGTTTGATTCCTGGAACCTACACGATAGAATGAGAGAACTGGCTGCTGCAATTGTCCTCTGTCCTCTCCGTGTATGCCATGGTCCCCTGTCCCTCCAAATAAATACATAATGAAAATATATACTCTTCCTTAAATGGCATATTGTGGCCCACTGTCCCACACAGTGCTGCCTTCCAGGTATATAATCTTTACAGATGAGCATGTGGGCTCGCTCTCGCTTGCTCTCTCTCTCTCTCTCTCATATTTTTTTCCTAAGATAGGGTTTCTCTGTGTAGCCTTGCCTGTCCTGGAGCTCGCTTTGTACACCAGTTGGCCTTGAACTCCCCTCTTCCTGCCTCTGCCCCACCCTCAAATGTCAGAATTATAGATGCTCACTACCATGCCCAGATTTCATTGTTTTAGGTTTTCTTTATGCTGCTGTTTGGATTTAGGGATATTGTCCTGCAACATATTCAAAAGCCCTTTTTCCCTTTTGTGGAGTAAGAAACAGGATGTCATGTATCCTAGGCTGACCTTGAGCTAGCTATGTAACTGAGGATGACTTGAACTTACATTGTTCCTAATCCTGCCTTCCAAGTGTTTTGCTTATAGGTTTCTGCCACAATATCCCATCTTATGTAGTGCTAGGGATTAAACCAGGATCTCCTGTGTGCTAAATGAGCACTCTGCCAAGTGAGACACATTCCAACAAACAACATATCAAGATATTTATTGTGACGTTAAGAGTGAGGCTGGAGAGAGAGCTTGGTGGTCAGGAGAACATACTTCTCTTCTAGAGGACCCAAGTTCAGTTCCCAGCTTCAGCATCAGGTGACTCACAACTATCTCCAAGGAGATCTTAACACCTGGGGCCTCATCAGGCCCTGCATGTGTGTTCATTCCCACTCATAGACACACTCAGACACATAGCTAAAAATGATAAAGATAAAAATATAAAAAAATATAGGGGCTGGAGAGATGGCTCAGAGGTTAAGAGCACTGGCTGCTCTTCTAGAGGCCCTGAGTTCAATTCCCAGCACCCACATGGTGTCTTACAGCCAATCTATAATAAGAGCCGGTGCCCTTTTCTGGCTTGTAGGTATACACTGGGACAGAACATTGTATATATAATAAATAAATAAATCTTTTTTTTTTTTTTTTTTCCTTAAAGGAAGGAGAGTAAAAATATACCAGCCAGGTGCATACCTCAATCACAGCACTTGGGAAGCAGAGGCAGATTGATCACTATGAGTTCAAGGATAGCATGGTCTACAAAGAGAGTCCAGGACAACAGCTACACAGAAAAAAAAAAAAAGAGTAAAAATATACTGAACAACCTAAACTGCACACCACACCACCAACAACAAAAAGAACATATACACTGTGGTTAAGTCATGCACTGAAATACTGAACTTGGTTAAAATTAAGCCAGGCGTGGTAGCATACACATACAAGCCCTGCACTCAGCAAATAGGGGCAAAAGGATCAGGAATTCAAAGCTGTCCTTGGCTAGATGGACAAGTTTGAAGTTGTTTGAAGACAGCCTGGACTATGACACTGTTAACAAAAACTGGGGAGGGCTGAGGATGGAACTCAGTTAGTAGAGTGCTTGTCTAGCATGCACAAAGGCCTCAGTTCAGTCCTGAGAACTGCATAAATCTGGGTGTGTTGGGCCTTCCTGTCATCCCAGCACTCATATAGTGGAAGAAGGCCCAGAGACTCAAGGTTGTTCTCAACTATATAACAAATTCAAGGGCAGCCTGGAATCTATGAAGCCCTGATTCAAAACATTTAAAATAAAAGTCTTGATCAGGCTATGAAGTCTTTGAACTCTTGTCCATGTATAGGGTTCCAAGAGTATTGTAGGCAATTTCCATGGAATTCTGGCCCAGTCATGTCTGCCCCATTGGTCCTAAAGCACCTCTCAACTTTGCTAGGAGAAGTCAGAATGTTGCTCAGATAAAGAATATTCTTTGCAGTGGCCAACATTTGTCTCATCCAGACTTCTTTGTTCTTTTCCCCCCAGGGATGTTGGTGGTAAATGTGACATGGAGGAACAAGACATACGTAGGTACACTTCTTGACTGCACAAGACATGACTGGGCACCCCCAAGGTGAGCACGTCCAGACTGTCTGGTTTATATTATGTATCCCACATAATATGTTGGCCCCAAACTCAAGCCTCCTGAGTGCTGGTATCACCAGCTTGAGCCACCACACCAGGCTGTATCCATTGTCCTTCCTTCCTCCCTACCTGATTTCCTCCTTCTTCCTCCTCCTTCCCTCTCTCCCTCCCCCTTTGGGACAAAGGTTTATTCCATAGCCCAGGCTATGTCAGACTCAAGGCGATCTTACATGAGCCTCCCAAGTGCTGGGATTACAGGTGTTTGTCTGAGTCACTGTGCCTGGCCTTATTTTCAAGTTACAGTTTGATCTTTAACATTTCAAGCCAGCCATGGTGCTATGTACCTGTAATCCCAGCCCTCGGTGGATGCAGAAGGATCAGAAAGTCAAAGCCATTTTCAGCTGCATCGGGAGTTTGAGGCTAACTTAGATCGCACACCTTGTCTCCAGAATGTGTGTGATAAGGTTAACATTTTGGGGTTGAGATGTTGCAGGCTTGTGGATTCACTTCCAACGATACCACAAAAGTTAAATACAATAAAACCATTAACACTTCAATGTTTTCTTATACATTATTCCTAATGTTAGTACCCAGTGTGCTCAGGCTTGAGATACCTAAAATATGGTGGAATGATCCAGAACTACTATGCAAGGGACATCCTAGGAGGGTACCCCGCAGTACAGCCCCATGCTGGTTTCTAAAGGAGACCACAGTTATTAAACCAGAAGCTGGGTAGGACAATTGCTGCAATTTGGAGACTAGCTTTAACTACATAGTGAGTTCTATACCAGACTGGGCTTAAAAAAAAAAAAACAAAGCACTGTGTAATGGCTCGTGCTGGGCGGCCATGCCACACAAAAATAAAGGAGTTTTCCCCTTAATAACACCCTGTCCTATTTGTCCTTTGCCAAGGTTCTGTGACTCCCCGACCAGTGACTTGGAAATGCGTAACGGTCGAGGAAGAGGCAAACGCATGCGTCCTAACAGTAACACACCTGTCAATGAGACAGCCACAGCCTCTGACAGCAAAGGGACCAGCAGCAACAGCAAAACTCGAGCAGGAGCCAATAGCAAAGGCCGTCGAGGGAGCCAGAACTCTTCAGAGCATCGCCCCCCTGCCAGCAGCGCCTCTGAGGATGTCAAGGCCAGTCCTTCCTCAGCTAATAAACGCAAAAACAAACCGCTTTCAGACATGGAACTGAATTCTAGCTCAGAGGACTCCAAAGGGAGCAAACGTGTCCGCACAAATTCCATGGGCTCAGCCACCGGGCCCCTCCCTGGGACCAAGGTGGAACCCACTATTGTAGACAGAAATTGTCCCTCTCCAGTCCTGATTGACTGTCCCCACCCAAACTGCAACAAAAAGTACAAGCACATTAATGGGCTTAAGTACCACCAGGCTCATGCCCACACGGATGATGACAGCAAACCAGAAGCTGATGGAGACAGTGAGTATGGGGAGGAGCCCACCCTCCATGCAGACCTCAGCAGCTGCAACGGTGCACCTGTCTCCCAGAAAGGATCCTTGTCCCCTGCCCGCTCAGCTACCCCCAAAGTTCGGCTTGTTGAGCCTCACAGCCCTTCCCCTTCAAGCAAATTCAGCACAAAAGGCCTCTGTAAGAAAAAACTGAGTGGGGAGGGAGACACGGACCCTGGGACCTTATCCAATGACGGCTCTGATGATGGACCCTCAGTAATGGATGACACAAGCAACGATGCCTTCGACTCTTTGGAAAGGAAGTGTATGGAAAAAGAAAAATGTAAAAAGCCCTCTAGTTTGAAACCTGAAAAGATTCCATCCAAGAGCTTAAAATCAGCCCGGCCCATTGCCCCTGCCATACCCCCACAGCAGATCTACACTTTCCAGACAGCCACCTTCACAGCAGCAAGCCCAGGCTCCTCCTCAGGCTTGACCACCACAGTGGTCCAAGCAATGCCCAACAGTCCTCAGCTCAAGCCCATTCAGCCCAAGCCCACTGTTATGGGAGAGCCTTTCACAGTCAACCCTGCCTTGACCCCTGCCAAGGACAAGAAAAAGAAAGACAAAAAAAAGAAGGAATCATCAAAGGAACTTGAAAGTCCCCTGACCCCTGGGAAGGTATGCCGAGCAGAAGAAGGTAAAAGCCCATTCAGAGAGTCATCAGGAGAGGGAATAAAAATGGAGGGGCTTCTGAATGGTTCCTCAGACTCCCACCAAAGCCGGTTAGCCAGTATCAAGGCAGAAGCTGATAAGATTTACAGTTTTACGGACAATGCCCCCAGCCCTTCGATCGGAGGCGGCAGCCGCCTAGATAGCACTACCCCAGCCCAGCCCCTAACTCCCCTACATGTAGTGACCCAGAACGGAGCTGAGGCCAGCTCGGTCAAAACCAACAGCCCTGCCTACTCTGACATCTCTGATGCTGGGGAGGATGGGGAGGGCAAGGTGGACAGTGTCAAGTCCAAGGACCCTGAACAGCTGGTTAAAGAAGGGGCTAAGAAAACACTTTTCCCCCCTCAGCCACAGAGCAAAGACTCCCCATATTATCAAGGCTTTGAGAGTTACTACTCTCCGGGTTACGCACAGTCCAGCCCAGGGGCTCTCAACTCAAGTAGCCAGGCAGGGATGGAGGGCCAGGCCCTAAAGTCAAAAAAGGATGAGGAGCCGGAGAGCATAGAAGGAAAAGTGAAGAATGATGTCTGTGAGGAAAAGAAACCTGAGCTGAACAGTTCCAGTCAGCAGCCCTCTGTCATCCAGCAGCGGCCCAACATGTACATGCAGTCCCTGTACTACAACCAGTATGCCTACGTGCCTCCATACGGCTACAGTGACCAGAGTTACCACACCCACCTCCTGAGCACCAACACAGCTTATCGGCAGCAATATGAAGAACAGCAGAAGCGGCAGAGCTTGGAGCAGCAGCAGCGGGGACTGGACAAGAAGACAGAGATGGGCCTAAAGGAGCGGGAGGCATCACTCAAGGAAGAGTGGAAGCAGAAGCCATCAGTTCCTCCGACTCTCACCAAGGCCCCCAGCCTGACAGACCTGGTGAAGTCAGGGCCAGGCAAGGCCAAGGAACCAGGGTCTGATCCCGCCAAGTCCGTCATCATTCCCAAATTAGATGACTCATCTAAAATCCCCAGCCATGCCCCTGAAGGCCTCAAAGGGAAGCTGGGTGAGGCCAGCCACCTGGGCAAGGAGACCCCCGAGACTAAAGCAGGTCCTGACTGCGGCCGACAGGCAGAGGTGGATCCAATCCTCTGGTACCGACAGGTAACTGCCGTATGTAAGGAAATAGAGGTGCTGTGTGATGCACTGTCTGGCCCCACGGAGCAACACTCTCTTGTGTAGATGTTCTGTGAAATTGAGATTAGCAAGAGAGCAGGATGGCTTTAGGAATTCTGTACATTTTAATGTTTTTAAAAAGCACTGTACCTTCTTGAATGGTATTCTTCTCTTAAAAAGGAGGGTACTAAGATGACAACTTACTTTGTCTACAGTTAGTCAAGCCTTCACTAGCAGAGCAGGCAGGAACCTTGGCACTGTATCTCCTAGCCCCGTGTTCCTCTGTAGGGTTCTGTGGGGCGGAGGCCTGCCATATTCAACTAACCGGTAGATCTCTTTAAAGGTTCAGTGGTGGCAGCTCTGTGGCACAGGCCTGTAATCCCAGTATTAGAAGGCTCAAATTGGAATTTATAGCCATACTAAGCTACGTAGTGGATTGAAGGCCAGCCTAAGCTACATAGCAAAACCCTGTTCTCTTAATAAATAAATAATATTTAAGAATTAAAACTAATGGGGCTAGAGATGCTCAGTGGTTAAAAGAACTTCTGTTCTCCCAGAGAGACAAGCTCGGGTCTTAGTAGCCACAACAGATGGCTTTAGCTTCCCCTAACTCCAGCCCCGGGGGATCTATCTGATGCTCTTCTGATCCCTGCAGACACCCACACCTGTTGCAGACATCACACAGGAGACTTAGAATGTCTTCCCTTTCCTCTTGGTGTCAGTTCTGCCCATCCTGACATGAGCAGCAGTGATTGCTCTGCAAAGCAACATAAACATCTTGGCAGGAGGCAACTTCTTCTGCTCCCAGATGCATTGCCCCAGAATTCTTACTTACGTCAAGAGCATCCATGGATGGCTTCACCTTTTCTCTCTCAGAATCTTCTTTCCTTGGGTTTGAGAAGATGTTTTGGAGTGACTGGGTCTCACTGTGTTTTCCTCACTGTGTTTTCCTCACTGGCTTAGTGTAAACCAGGCTGGCCTTGAACTCAAGAGTTCTGCCTGCCTCCCCAGTGCTGGAATTAACAGTGTTTTTGTAAAAACATCCATAGAAGCCAGGATCCCACTCTGCCTTGGATGTTCTAATGGTCTGTTTCTGTGCTTCTGCTGGGACCTTGGGCTTGGAAAGGGTCTTTCATGTGTAACACTACTCGCACTCGCTCTCTCGTATCTAGCTCTACTCTGGTTTTTGCAGGAGACAGAGCCCCGCATGTGGACATATGTTTATCCTGCCAAATACTCAGACATCAAGTCAGAGGATGATCGGTGGAAAGAGGAACGGGACCGAAAATTAAAGGAGGAAAGGAGTCGGAATAAGGACTCTGTTCCCAAGGAAGATGGGAAGGAAAGCACAAGTACTGACTGCAAGCTGCCTGCATCTGAGGAATCCCGCCTTGGAAGCAAGGAGCCCCGGCCGAGTGTCCATGTGCCTGTGTCCTCCCCCCTCCCCCAGCACCAGTCCTACATCCCCTACATGCACGGCTACTCTTACAGCCAGTCCTATGACCCCAACCACCCCAGCTACCGGGGCATGCCTGCTGTAATGATGCAGAATTACCCAGGTACAGTGCCCAGAGCTGGCTGTGCTGCTCATGGGGAAGGGCGGTGAAAGCAGTTTCCAAATCTAGAGCCTTGTTGCTTTGGCTCTAAGGTTCAGTGAGACTGGCTTGGACGACAGTCCTTTTTTTCCCCCAATGTGTCCATGATGTGAAATTGCCACTCTAACCTTAAGTGACCCTAATTACAATCAGAAAAACTACCTCTCCCTTGCTTCCGCTAAGGTTGCCTCTACTGTCAGCTTTTCTTGATTATCAGTGGTGAAACTCCTGTGCACCACAGCCATCTTTTCTCTGCTGGAATTTCTTTAGACACGCACTCTGATTTCTGCTGCATTCAAGGCACTGTGGGGAATACTAAAGAAATGGAGGAGACCGGTTCTCTCCGTCAGGGACGTCACAGCTTAATACAGCAGGAGCAGTGTGTGCTACAAATAAGATTCCAAGAACAACGCAGGCAGGCACTCATTTCTGAGGCTGTGCTCAGCTGTGAGGTCAGAAAGCTGCCAGGGATGCAGGGAGCATCTTGAAGTCAGTCGGAGGGATGTCCAGTAGGTTCAGCTTGAGAAAAATTAGTTTTTGCACTGCTGACAATGAGTTCTCAGTGTGCCAAGGTTTAAATGTGTTTTAAATTGTTAGAAAAAAAAATGCTAATATTCAACTCTACACACTGATTTCTGTTGCCTGAAGAGCCAGGTGGGATCCCCCCCCCCTCCAATTCTGTTGTTGCTGTTTTGTTGGTTGGTTGGTTTTTGAGTTGGAAGAGGGCTAGTTAGTTTTGTTTTCCTGAGACGGGATCTCACTTTGTAGCCCTGGCTGGCCTGGAACTCACTGTGTAGAACAAAACTGGCCTCTTAACTTACGGAGCTCCACCTGCCTCTCTCCTGAGTGCTGGGATTAAAAGCGTGGGCCACCATGCCTGGCCATAATATACTCTTTCACCACACACTCTCGGTGTGATCAAATCGAGGGAAATGGCATTCTCCACGTTTGGAGTCTTTGTATTCTCTTCCAGGGCTTCATGAAATATGTAACAGGTTTCTATGAATTGTGGCCACTTCACTGTGCTGCGGCACACTAGAGCGTATGCCTTCTGTCTGTTTGGGCATCTGTTCTGCCCCTCCTCAGCTTCTGGTAATCCCTGTTTTCCATTTAGATCAGCCTGAGCATTCACTCCTTATAGCTCCCAGCCTCCTAGAGCCTGTAGTCTTGACATTCTGCTGGCATTATTATGGGATAAATTCTAAATACAAGTAAGCTTTTCAGTAGATAAAGGAGAGATTACCTCACCCTCATGGTGTGCCTTACCCTCCATATTCTATATAAAAATAAGAGTTCCATCTCTTCAGGCTTGGTCTGGTCCAGGCACTGTCTTGAATGATCTATGCGCTTTTTCTGTTCTGGTGTTTTTGTTGTTGTTGAGACAGGATCTGTACTTAGCTATATAATATAGGCTGGCCTCCAACTTCCCTCTTTTTCTTGCCTCTGCCTCCAGGTGCTGGAGTTGGAGCCTAGCCGCACCCCGGGCGGTGAGTGCCCCTCTGCATAAGTACGCCTATGGAAGGCAGAGGCCAATTCACTTGTCTTCTTCCACTTCTCCAGCTTCTTTCCTGCTGAACCTGAAGCTCACTGATTTTTTTCTAGACTGTCTTGCCAGTGAGCCCCAGGGGTTCTCCTGTCTGTAACGTCACAGTGCTAGAATTATAGGCACCTGGCCTTTTATGTAGGTTAGCACAAATGTGTTTTTACTATGTGTGAGTGTTTGCCTACATGTATGTATATCCAAGGAGGCCAGAAAAGGTGTCAGATCTCCTGGAACTAGCGTTAGATACATCATGTGGGCTAGAAATGAAACCTTGGTCCTTTGCAGTAGCAGCAAGTGTTCAGATGTACAGGTCCATCTCCTCAGCCCAGCTTCAGTTTTTGAAACAAAGTCTGGCCATCTATCCGAGGCTGACTTTGATCTCATCTCCCTGCCTTGGCCTTCTCAGTGCTAGAATTACAGGTATGTGTATACCTAGCTTCACATTGCTTGTTTGTGAAACAGTTTTGCTGTGTACTCTGACTAGAATTTTCTGTGTAGTTCAGGCTAGCCTCCGTGAAAAAATCCTCTTATCCTTGCATCCCAAGCACTGGATTAGAAGTTGGGAGAGGGGGGGTGTGCGTAAGCACAGTGTCTAAAGAGGCCAGAAGAGGACATCAGCTCCCTTGGAACTGGAGTTATAGATGGCCTGATGTGAGTACTGGGAATTGAACCCAGGTTCTCTGGAAGACCAATAAATGCTCTTAACAGACAGTGAGCCATCTCTCCACCACCACCACCCTTTTTTTTTTGAGACAGCCCTGGCTGACTCAGAACTCACTCTATAGACCAGGCTGGTCTTGAACTCAGTGATCTGCCTGCCTCTGCCTCTAGAGTACAGGGATTAAATAAAGAAAAACAAGGTCAAACAAGGTCTCATTATATAGCCCGGGTTGCACTCAACCAGACTGACTTCAGCCTCACATAGATCTTCCTGCACTGCCCTCCCTAGTGCTAGGATCTGATTTAGGTTATCAGGCCTGGCAGCACATGCACTTACCCGGGGAGCTGTCTAGGCAGCCCTTGCATTGTTTTGTGTTGTGTTTGTTTTGGGGGATGTAGAGGGAGGGCAGGATCGCATGTAGTCTAGGCTGATATCAGACTCAGAATTCTGCCCCAGTCACCACAATGTTGGAATCACAGATATATGCCATCATGCCTGGCTGACATCTTTACTTTGATGATAAACTAAAACTCAAAAAGGCTGTCACTTCATTCAAGGTTATCCAGCCCAAAGCTGTCTGACTTTAAATGCTTTGATGGAGATCTGAGAAGTCAGCTCTGGGAAACCACGTGCCATATTTTTTATCCCTTCACCCGTTCTTCCTATAGAGCTTGTTAAAAAGGGAAGAAGCCGAGAGCGTCATCCCGAGGTGCTGTGGTAGGAAGTATCCAGGAGAGCTGATGCCACCTGACCACATTGACTAGAGCCACTCTTCTGCCATCCGCACTCCTGTGACTGCTTCATTTCTCCTTTCCCAGGTTCCTATCTGCCTTCCAGCTATTCTTTCTCCCCGTATGGCAGCAAGGTCTCAGGTGGCGAGGATGCTGACAAGGCCCGCGCTAGCCCCAGCGTGAGCTGTAAAGCCAGCTCTGAGTCCAAAGCCCTGGATATCTTGCAGCAACATGCCAGCCACTACAAGAGCAAGTCTCCCACGGTAAGTGGGGTGTGGAGACCCACAGCGTGGGAGAAGTGGGCAAGTTCAGGTCCCGACCAAGGTGCAGCTTGGCTGACTTACTGTTGGCCCCATGAGGGCACCCCTTTGTTTGTATATACCCTGCCTTTTTAGAGCCATAATGTAGGGCCCTGGTTAGATCACTAGTATGTATCTCTCTCATCATAGTGCCTTTGTGTGTCTCCTTTCCTTTCCAGATAAGTGATAAAAATTCTCAGGAGAGAGATCGGGGAGGCTGTGGGGTAGTTGGGGGTGGTGGCAGCTGTGGCAGTGTTGGGGGAGCAGGAGGTGGTGACAGGAGTGTCGACCGGCCCCGCACTTCCCCTTCCCAGCGCCTGATGTCCACACACCACCACCACCATCACTTGGGCTACTCCCTGCTCCCAGCACAGTACAACCTACCCTATGCCGCAGGTAAGGCTCTCGTCCTCATCACCTCTAGTTATGTTTCCATTTCAGTAGTAGTGCCTGTAACAAGGCCCTTGACCTCCAAGAATCTCCCACCCTACCCTATCCCCGCAAACTTGTAATTTGAGATAATTCCCACCTTCAACTCAGGAGGTTGAAGCAGAAGTATCAAAATAAACTCAAGGAGGGCTGGGGAGATAACTCGGTTGCTTTTCGAGCAGACCTGAATTCAGTTCTCAAAGCCCATGTAAGAAGACAGTGGTGCTGATATATGCTTGTAACTGCAATGTTTAGGTAGAAGGAGAAGCAGGCAGATCCCTGAGCTGGCTGGCCAGCTAGCCTGGCCTACTTGGCAGAGTTCCAGGCCAGTGAAAGCTGTGTATCAAACAAAAGGCAGAAGGCACTTGAATGACACTCAAGGTTGTCCTATGACACAGACACAAGCACGCATATGCATCCTGTCGTAAACAAAAAAAAGAGCCGGCAGTCTGTCCTGAGTCCTAGGGTACCCTGCATTAGGCTGACATTTCTCTCCTCCCTGGGAGGCCAGCAGCTTTCGTTATTGAGCAGAGTAAGGGACGGGTGTTTCTACCAGTAAAGAGAAACAAGCTGAAAACCGACCTGGCCAAGTGTCAGGGTTGTTTGTTTTTCTGTCAGCACCCCAAAAATCCAATAGTGCCAGGGGAATTTAAGGGAAACTCCTCCCTATATCAGAAATGTGGAGGACGATTTCCTGAGTGCTACATTAAATATGTTCTCTGCTTGTCCAGGGCTTTCTTCTACAGCCATTGTTGCCAGCCAGCAAGGCTCAACTCCCTCACTGTACCCACCCCCCAGGAGGTGAGAATGGTAAGTGGATTATGTTGATTTGAGGTAACATTAACTGGGGTAGCTGCTAGCCTGACCGCAGGATACCTGTGGTGCCCAAGTGAGGGATAACTATGTGAGGCCTTGGTCTGGAGAAGGGGGACTGTTGGCCAGGCCACTTACATCTGCCATTTGTGAAACTGTCCATCTGAGGGACCATGGAGGAGCCAGCACCAAATGGTGGTGCACTTCTTGTTCTGTGTGTGTGTTGTTTTTATTTATTGTGAAGGGCGGTGAATATATGCAGAGGTCAAAGGACAACTTACCGGGAGTTCTTTCTTCTAACTATAACTTAGCTCCAGCTTGGCAACAAGCACCCTTATGCACCAAACCATCTCGACAGCCCCAGTTTACTTTCTTTAGAGCGCCATCTTGTGGTTGTGATACCAGCAGACCACAATTACCTGTCTGTATGTTTCCTTCACAGAACACCAAGTGCCCAGATGAAGTCAGCTACATGGGCCAGATTGGCTCGTTTGAGGTGGTGCTGGAGGTGCCATTTTACCATCAGTTACGGTGTTGACCGTCCTGTTTGCCATTCCTACCGTGACTGAAGGCAGACCCTTGGCTGTCTCACCCCCACCAGACCCTCCCTCTTCCTCAGGAGCTGGAGAACTGGTACTTTGCAAAAATATTTATTCTCTCAGTCACAGTTCTGACTGCTGTGGCATCTGTGGAGATAAAGGCATAGGAGAAACTGAGGGAACACAGCCTCAGCACAGAGAAGTCACTACTCCGTTACTCTAGCCCCTGGTCTCTGCCAGAGCAGCACCCCACACACACCTGGGAGGGCCCCCAAGCACGGGGTGAGGTCTGAAGACAGCACAGCAGCCGTACCCCTCTCACCGTCATTACCACCAACCAGATTCCACATCTCCTCAGTGGTTTGGGCCCTGGGAACTGGCAGCACGTGGAGAAATTAGAATCTCAGGAAAGAAGTGGGGGCTGTTTTCTCTGTAATTGTGAAGACAAGGTCTTCAAGTGTGGAGACATCCCCCACTAACGTGAGCACAGATAAACACTCAGAGCCTTGTGCTCCTGTTAGGCAGAAGGCAGGAGTTCTAGCACCAGCACAGGGCTCCCTGAGGTGCTGGGAGGAGCTGGAGCATAAATGGAGTCTGTGGAAATGAACCTGCTTCCTCACCAAATTCCTGCTGCTTTTCATCTCTCAACTTCTTGCCCTTGTCTTTCTTTTTAACCCCTTGGTGCCTTTCCCAGGGGGGATTCCCCATACTGACCTCACCTCCTCTACTGCTTGGCTCTTAAAACTCAGGCAGAATAGACTTCCTCCCAGCATGGGTAACCTTGGAGTCTGCCACGTCACTGTAGGGCAGGAACTGGAAGGCAGGCCGTAGGAACACCTAGCAGTTCTTGGAGACATTCAGTTATTTGAGTACCTTTCTCATTTAGGGTCACAAATGTATACATCCAGTTCCTTTGTCTGGTACATGATTTTACACAGTTCACTCTGTAACTCCATGTGTGCCAATATGAGGCGTGTCTTTGTAACGCATGTTTTGTTTTAGGGGCTACTGGCCAATGGAAGTGATTTGCTCCTTAGGCTCTGAAACAGCATATCCAAGCATCACATGCCCGAGCCAGAGTGGAGTCAGTGGATGAGGCTTTGAGGTGGCAGACATTTCTCTGTTCCCCTGAGCCGTAAAGCCGGGGCTGGGAATGTGATGACCTAACTTCTTCCCAGGATCTGCTTTTTAGCTCTGCTGTTGCGGGCTGTCATCCTTTGTTACCTGTCCCTCCCTTGACTGCAAGAGAGAGAGAGAAAGATGCACAGACAGCAGTTTAGGCTAACAGGACGCTTGCGGCAAGAGTGTCAAACATGGCCGTGTGAGAGCAGGAAGGTACATGGCTCTGACTTCTTTGGGAGAGTGAGGGTGGTGGGGAGACAGTGAGCACAAAGCCCAGGAGAAGGTGCTTCCCAAGAATCCGTGAGCCTCCCTGTGCGTAGACAGGCTGGCTCATCGGCGCCTCTGACCTACAAACCTCTGTTTCCAAGTCCCTATCTTTGTTCAAGTTGGGTTCCAGGCATTTGCAAAAATCCTTCTGTTTTAGACCTGTTGGCAGGACCCCAAGCAGCCTCCTCGCCAACATCGTTCCCTCTGCCACATGCTTTCCCAAGTAAGCAGTACTTTAGGCAGTGACCCCCCTTCATTCATGGAAGTAGGTGTTGGGGACACCATCATACCTAACCCATTACTACCCTACTAAGAGTGACTTTTTTCCTGATTATGCCTCCTCCCAAAAACTCCAGTGAATAGAGCCATGTGCCCATCTGTTCCTGTTTGTTTTTGAAGTATTGTTGTGTGTTTCGTATGGTTCTGTGGCACTGGCTTGCAATGTGCTTTGTACATATTATAAAGAAACCATTGGAGCAGTTTTGTTTTTCATTGGATAGGTATGGCCCACATTCCTGCCCTTTCCACTTCATTTTATAACAGCAGGTGTGTCTATTTGCAAGACAATAGAATCTACAGAAGAGAACAGCTTTCTCTCTCTCCTGCTCCCCCCTTTTGGCGCTCATGCTCTCTCCTGTCCTTTCCCCCTTCTCTCTTCCCTCCCCGACTTAAAGACAGTCAGCTCTTTGATCCCTCTACCCAAATGCCCCTTGAAGAACAGGTGCTGCCCTGAAATGAGATTAGCAGTAGAAAAATGACACTATGGTCTCAGCCTGCTCATCCTGGTTCCTAGTCTGAGTCCAGTCTTCCCTCCCTGAAATAGAAGCACACAGCTGACGCTGTGGAGATCCCTGACTAGTGCTGAGAGATTGGCTGTCCACTCCACAGTGGGGAGCTTCCTGTGGACCTAGTTAGAAAGACCACCAAACCAAGCCTCACTGAGCCACCTCTGCCCATGCTCTTGGTGTTCATGAGCTCTGAGACCCCTGTGAAGGAGAAGCTACAGGTGGCTTCCCCCCAAGGTAGGGCAGTCACAGCTGCTGCTGAGGATCCCCGTCCACTTCCTCACTTATGGTGTGCCAGTTCCCATCAGCTCTTCCTGTGATCCACAAGACATGTAGCCTCTGCTTAGCCTACATGCCCCACACATCCCCAGGGCAAAGAAACACAGACACAAGGTTAAGAGGGTACCCTCTGAAATAATCATTTCATGCACCTCCTCTCCAAGCTCCAGGGTGGGGTAGGGGCACTTAGTTTAAGGGAGTTGGGAGTTAAGGCTGCAGAAGGGCTAGAAAATTGGATATAGCTTTGAGGCCTTCTCTTCACTACCCCATACACCCTATCTGTGTGCTCAGATGCCCCCCAAGATTCAGCTGGGCAGCTAGCTGGCCCATACTTCTGGGCCTTTTGTCACTTATTACTAGGGCATCCCAGGAAACTTTGCAGTGATTCGCTCCACAGGCCCCTCCCAGGCCTTGTCCCCAGCCCCTCCTGCCCCAGCCCACCAGCTTGCCTTGGTGCTCAGCCCTCCCGATGGGAGCAGGTTGGGGCAAGCTGGAGGCCCGGGCTGGAGGGACAGTGTTGCTGTTCATAGCTTTTGTTCCATTGGCGTTGTTCTGTTGGATTTAATTTCAGTCTTCCTGATTCTTCCCTTCTGTAAAGTGTACATTACCAAGTTCCTTGTTTTTTTATATATATATATAAATATATATATATACAAACTGTACTCTTTTTGCCTTTGTACATTCAGGCAAGAAGAGAAAATAAATCTTTTTAAGAGACAATCACAAATCTGTGAGGGCTGCTGGTTATTTCTCCTGGAGTTTGCTGCTGAGCTGCTGCCTCCCTTCGCTGTCCTGTCCCCCTCAGCTCCCGTCTCTCTAGTCCTGCTCCTCTGCATCCTCAGCTTCACACTCCCTGGCTGACAGCGAGCTGTTGAATCCGGTGCGCAGGCGACCTGCCCTGTTGTAGCATTTTCCCGCCCACTGGCTGATCCTGTATCCTGGCTTTTTTTTTTCCTTCCCCCCTTAGATCCTATTCACCAAAGTGTCTTTGGACTCCTGGGTACTCTGGGACCTTCTCCCAGAGGCCCTGGCTTTAGACATTGATTCATCTATGAAACTATGCAGCTGGGAGCCTGAGATTTTGCACTACTTAAACCTGCCTGGAAGTTAGAATGGAAGGTTTTTAGGAACAAATGGGAAATCAATCCCCACCACCCCCAAGCACTCCACCCCACCCCAACCCCCCACACACACTCTAGCCTCAGAAGTCCGCTGATCCTGGGATCACTCCTGGACTCCTGGGTTACCCTCTGAGATCAAGGGCTAAGGATCTGTTGGTAAGAGCTTTTGATGAGACTCTCAAAGAGTGATGTCGTCTGAAACTGCCCAGCCAGACCATGTTCAGTCTTTCTCCTTTCCTTACCTTCTCCCCCTTGCCCCTTTGTCTCTACTTCCTTTTCTTAATTGGCTTTGGAATTGAAGTATATTTTTAAATTATTTGTTGTATTTATTGAATAAAGTTTTTAATGTCCCTGTTCTTAAATTTAGACTAAAGTTTGCCTTTCACGTATCTCCCCTTCATCACCCCCAAATTTTCTACCTTCTAAGTTGTTTTTTAAAATGAAGTGCTGCTGCCTGCTTACCTTGACTATCAGTGGTTATCTTCAATGGCCCGGGTTTTTTTTGACAGGGAGCTCTTTGGACAGGTATGCAGCTTCTAGGGTCAGCCCCTTTAACTGGTTGTAAACAGGAAGCATCAACATACAGCAACAGAAACACCATGTTTCCCTCTGCTTTGTGAGCTTTGGCTGAAAGAACTGAGTTGTGTTTCTCTGCTCCCCGTTTATCTGTGAATGGATTTCTCAGGTTTTACATTTGGCTCTTGACCTCCCAACCGCCTTTAGGCTGCCCCTAGGAGTCATCTCTGTCTGATGGAGGTGTTTTCAAGCCAGTCACTTTGAAGGAACACCATCTGCAGGTTGAGACCAAGTTTAGTGACTTGGCCAAATAAAACAGGTAAGCTCCATGAAAAACCAAGCTGAGAAGTCAGGCCAATCCTATAGAGAACCTAAGGGTTGACTGTAGAGCTGCAAGGCCATAGAGCGAGCACTGCCTTGAAGGGCAGGGGTGTCCGTGAGGGGCCTGAGGGGCGAGGTGGCGGAAGTTGCTTAGTCCCTCCCCGAGATGATCCTTCATGCTGGTGGCGCAGCGGGACCAGAAAGATGTCACACAACCCTGGGCTCCAAGAAGAAAAAACTCAAATGGAAAAGAAATGTGCTGCTTTGAGGCATGATGGCATTGCAGGCCAAAGCTATAGTGACCTTGCATCAAGGGGGGGGGGGGTGTAAACAGACATCAGGGATAAAGTTAGGTAGTACCATAAAAAGTAAAACCTACTGTTAAGCCCTGGTCTTGTCTGTGACAACTGGAATTTGTGGTTAGTAGCTACCAAACAGGAAAGTGTTACGTATGTACTTCTCTCTCCAAGGGCACGTAAGTGAGTCCCACTCCTGGCAACCCTGCATTTCACAATCTAACAGGGCCCCAGAGACAAGCCTTTTTCCCTGGGAAGTATGCATAATAGTATGTTCAGCTCTAGTAGTGATAGGGAAGTTGGTCCTCGTACAGGAATAAAGAACAGACCAACCAAAACTTTAAATCTGTTTATTGACACAGAAACACAACACACTTGCCTCCCTGACACCCACCCAATGTAGATCCCCCTTCTTTTCTCTTTAGGACAAGCTGTTTGGTGACAGCAGTAGAAGGCAGGCCATTTCTGCAGTCCAGCCCTACCTGCAGTCCAGGCACTGTTTGGAACCTGTTAGGGAGGCAGTCAGTACTCTGCTTGGCCAGCCAGAGGCATCCAGTCACTAAGAACATTGCCCCACAAACCCCAGGCCCTGAGTCTGCTATTCTTCCTCTCTGCTCTCGCTAGGAAAGAGATCCTGGGGCCTGGGCCCCAGAGGCAAGAACTCTGATGGTAACTTGAGATGTAGTTTGGCTAGTTTCTTAAGGCCCAGGAACCCCTAAAAAGCCCTGGTGTATGTGTGGGGGGTGAATTTTAATGCCCCTATTTCAAATGCACTGGTAACATTAAACAGATTAAGCCAGCTTAACCAAATGCCAGAATAACACTAAGCTGTAAAGAAAGCGAGGTCAGACCTGCTTACACCAGGCCAGACACAAAAATGCCGAGAAGCCCGAGGTGGAGTGTGGAAAACAACCTAAGGACACTGCCCAGAAGCTAAGAAGCCTATACTCAGGAGCCCCTGAATGACAGGAACAAAGAAAGAAAATACCTAAGTTTTAAAAACAAAAAACAAAAAACAAAAAAAAAAAGGAAAAAAAAAAAAAAAAAACAACTGCAAGGAAAGCCGAGCCTGATGGTGATGCCCACCAGCCCTCCAGGCTTTGCCCCTGGACCAGGCAGTCCCTCCCCCTCCAGGCAATGTCCTCCCCTAGGCTAGATGGAGCACATCACAGCGCAGTTTAAAAAGCTTCTAAATGCCAGTTCATAAACATCTTCATTTACTATTGGTGATTACATGTGAATAATATGCTTATACTGTTCTTTATGGAAAACAATTTCAACGAGTCAACTCCGAGAACACAATGGGCAACCCTCAACCTGAGCCCCTCAATGTCCTTCCCTAGACAGCCGGAAACCCTCTCCTCTGTCCCAGGGCTGCCTAACTTTCTCTCTTCCCCCACTGTGGCTCTTGGACAAAGCATCCTCTATGACCATTAGTCCTCATCAGACAAGTTCTGGTCCAGGGGGTAAACCATGAACATCACATCTGGCCGAGAGGGAACACAGGGATGACCTGGACGCACAATCTCAAAGCCCAAGAAGCTGAATGTCTTCAGGAGTGGAGCTGCAGAAAATAAAGCATAGAAGGGGCTCTGATGAGAAGCTCAAATCCGGGGAAGACTGCAACGAGCAAACAAACAAACAAACAAGGCAAGTACGAGGTCCTCAGCCACAACTAGGCTGGTAGAGTGAATGTACATAGCGGACACCCGCTGCATGGGTGTCCAGACTGTTCTGGCTGCTCACCTCTGTCTTCCCGGCCCTTCCTGAAGCAGATGAACACGTAGTTCACTTTCATCTTCTCCTCAGCAAACTCTAGCAGTGCTAGCAATCTGCAGAAACAGAGCTGCTCAGGTCCACTGCCTCCTTCCCAGACCTCCTCCATCCCACCCCCAAAAGGGTCTTCTGAGCTGGAGTGCCAGCAAAATTAAGATAATCTCCAGAGAGAGGCCCCCACTTGAAGACCCCCAACCTAGAGCCCTACAAAGAGAAGATTAAGTCAAAGATCCTGGAGGGGGGGTGTTCTTTCTTCCTATAACTGAGTTCTTCATTTGAAAGTAATACTGTCTTAAAGTAATGCCGATCACAAAGCAGTGTGATGCCATCAAGAGCAGCTCATTTGGTCTTTACACTGACAAGAATGCTCTGAGCTCAGTTTCCTCAAAGTGAGGCCAGCATGGTGGTGCACGCCTTTAATCCCAGCACTCAGGAAGCAGAGGCAGTGGATCTCTGTGAGTTAGAGGGCAGTCTAATCTACACAGTTGCAGGACATGTAGGGCTAAACAGCAAAAGCCTGCCTCAAAAGACAGAATTGGAGTCAATCAGCAGACTGTCTTGGGACTGCTTTTTACACACGGGCTACGCGGAGAACAGTGCCCAGTCTAATGAAATCCCGTTATTCTACCTGTGTATTCCTTGAATTGTACAAATTCCCTGGAATTTGTGTGGAGGCTCAAGTAGAACCTGACATCTGCTGGGAATCTGATTAGCTAAGTGGTGGGTGGCTCGTTAATGTGCTATGCTAACAATCTGCTTCAGTTATAACCAGAGCAGGCCTGATTTACTGGCTAAAAATAACTTAAAACAGAGCATTATCGACTTGGGGAGCCTAAAGCTAAGGGAGAAGGGACAGACTCCGCCATAAAGCTGTTATCCCCGGTAACCATTCTCTTCACTGGCTCCTTACCCTTCTTTGCTCCCATCAGCTAATAATCCATCTGGGATTTCTACAAACAGGCTCTGGCTGGACAGGACTGCATCCCAGGAAGAGACCTTCACCTCGGTGACCTCGTACTGGAAGTGGACGATGTGAGGTTTTCCATCGTTCACGGGGAGGTCCTGGGTTACAGTGAGCTTCTCGTCCTGAGGAGGAGAGTTAGGGCAGGGGACAGAATCTCCACTACTGGCCGCATCCAAGCTCCCTAGACTAAGGGGTGCTGGCATCCCGTGGGCTGTTCTCAGGGTGGCCTCTGTCAGGAGTGTGTCGGAAATGCAGGCCTCCCTGTGAGCTAACTAGCCATTTCTAAGTAGCTGCTGTTGGCATAGCCAGAATGAGATAAGAAAGGGAATCTTTACTAAGAACCAGCCAAATGCTTAGCACTGTGCAAAGTATATTCATGTATTAATATCTTCACTTTAAATATGATAGCAAGACAAGAACAATTTAGTAATTCGCCCAACGCTCCTACAGCTAATAAAGGTAAAGTTGAAATTAAAACCTAGGTCTCCTTAACCTGGGAAAAACATCACAAACAAATGAAGTTCCAACATTGCTGTGCTGGAGACTGAGGCAGGAGGACTATAAATTAAAGGCCAGCCTGGACTACACAAGACTTTTGTGTTGTTGATTGTTTTAGAGAGAGTGTCTTACTATATAGTCCTAGCTGGCCTACGAACCCTAGATATCCACCTGCCTTTGTTCCTGAGTGTTGGAATTAAAGGAATAAACTACTATGTATGGCCTAAGACCTTGC